AAGGATTTATGCATAACATTCCTTTTAACATTTTTCACTTATCCTTTATGTTCTATAGAACATATCCACTTAGCACATATTCACATAAAATTTCACGTAAAACATTGTCATATAGCATTATCAAATTGTATTATTTATTCACATTCAAACAATTACTCATAGTATTACATTTCATATAACATTATTCAATATTTTCATTTAATTACATATAACATACATTCATAGTGACTAATTATTTCATGTTACATATCATTATTCAACTTATCCATTTACTTATATAGAACATATTCACATAGAAAACCTTCACATATACTCATAGGATTTCATTTTGTTCAAAAACATTTAAGGTTGGCTCATTGCAATCCATCCTCCAATCATAAATAAGTTAAGTAAATAGCACTCACCTTTGCCTCACTTAAGTCTTAAACAACTCTTTCTCTCTTTCACTTTATCTTGGTACGTCCATTCGTTCCACATTTGCTTTCAAAAAAATCTTCATATAGCATGACCCATATGAATACCGAAACTCAATTAACATCTAACCCATTAACTTTTATGTAAACGAAATGAAACACTTAATTAACATTTCTAACTAAATAGTATCAGTACTCTATCCACAGTACCGATACTTCTCTTCTATGGTACCGATAGCCACTTCAGTACCAATATCATTTTAGCATTCTGGAATTCCTTTTTCAATTACAGTATCGATACCTCCACATCAGTATCGATATTGTTCATCGTATTCATACATTTTCCGTTAAATTTTAACCTTATAGTATCGGTATTGTTCTTCCAGTACCGATACCCTTACCTAGATTTCACTTTTTTCACTTCGAATTTTACCTAAACTTTACTTAAATCTCGTACCTTTAAATCCATTCATACCTTTAAACTTATTTACACTTATTACCACTAACTTATATCCATTAAAACCCCTTTACAACCTTAATTCTCCATAGAACTCTTGAAACTAAAAATCATACCGATTTTTCAAACATGCTCTCAATCATTTATAACACTTGAAATTTCTTATTTACACCTATGACAAGTCAAATATGCTTTTAGAATCCAAATATTCATCATTTTCTAACAATTCCCTTAAAAACCCATTTTACTAATTCATCATTAATTCATCCATCTCTTAGCTCTAACTCATCTTTAAGCTTTTTTAAGCTTCTATATTACCCAAAAAACCAAAACCAAATTCAAAATTCAAGAAATAACTAACTTCCGTTAACTAACCTTAGCCATGGAAGCATACGGTGGAAGAGAAGAAGAGAAAACCAAAGCTTCCAGACTTTTCTTTTTTTTTTCTTCCTATTTATCACGTGTTATATAGCCTTTAAGAATGAATTTTAAATTCATTCATGTTAAAATACTTCTTTGCCCTTCCATTCTTCCATCTTTGCTAATAAGTCCTAATCACAAATTCCAAAAATCAGTCCTTAAACTTTTTAATTTATTTAAATTAAACTACCAATTTTTAAATCCTTACATTTTAGTCACTGGCCTTATTTTTGGGGTATTGCATAAAAAATGGAGAAGTATGGTTTGAAAAATTCATTTTCTTAATGAAAAATGGGGAGCTGGACATTTTCATATTTTTTTCAACAATTGATATCCTTTTTCATTGAATATTTTTTAAGGGGGAGTTTTGCCAAAAACAAATTTTCAAATTTTTTTTATATCAAAAAGGGGGAGATTGTTGAACTATATTTTGATAAACAATTAAGGAAAAAAATTTGGACTTTAATTGAATTTATTCAAAGTTTTCAAAAATAATTCAAAGTCCATTTAACTTGGAATTGAGCACAAAATGTTTTTTTCTGGACAAGCAATACCAATACTATTCTTATAGTATAGATTCTTCATGAACAATACTGATACTATTCATATGGTACCAATACCAAATGTAAGGGAAGTATCGATACTCACTAGGTAGTATCGATACTACCAACATTGCTCAAATTCCATAATGCAAAAATGGTATCGATACCCAATGGGGTACCAATACTACTTTACATAGTAGTATCGATACCGTCAGGCCCAATGGCTAGTAACGACTAGTTTTATATAAAAATAACAAAGGTAGTATCGATACTAAAAATAACAAAGGTAGTATCGATACTCCTTGTAGGAGTATCGATATCCTATGTACTGGGCAATTTTATTTTGCAGAGAAAAACATTCTCAATGGCTCTAAATTAGTCTCAACGGCTAGAAACGGCCATAAACTCATTCCAACATATAAATACAAGTTCAATACACTTGAAAAAGGGTTAGAACACCTATCCAATCATTCAAACAGAAGAGAAGAGTTTTTCATTCCTATTTCACTTTCTCTTATAAATATTTTGTTATTGCGAGCTTTAAATTTATGAACACCTACCTTGTAAGGGTTTTCTTGTTTACATTTCTTTTTCTTTTGTAAAAAGGGGTTTGGTTCTAGTTTAGCTAATTGAAAAACTAGGGATTGTAAAGGTTATCTCTTGATATTTAAAAAAGAAAGAACAAATTAGTGAATTTGTTGGAAAATCCTTAGTGAGAAGTTAAGGTAGTTGGTTGAGAAGTCGAACCACTGTAAATCACTGTGTCAATTTCTCTATCTTTTATTCTCCTTACTCCCTAAACAAGTTTTTGCCAATTCACCCCCTTGTGCAAATTTTTGGTTGATTCAATTAGAGCTTCGAAAATCCTAACAGTAAAACCTTATAAACCCAAGGTGCTCCCTTAGATTGGCACCTACGCCTTTGGGCCTACGATAATTCCTTATGGATGCAGTTATGGGGAACTGTTATGGTGTTCGGTTGGAGGCCGATTCTTTATTTTTAAGGTAAAAACACTACTGACATTTTCACATTTTGGAACTGAATTGATTTTGGAAATTATATCGACATTTCATGACTTTATTGATGAACTGATTTTGAAATATAAACTATATGTTTTATTTTTGCATTGTTGGAACATAGTGAGTTGCCTAGCTCACTCCCCAAACTTCTCTCTTTCAGATATTTTGGATAGGCATCCCGGACCTAGCACTTGCAAGATCGACACATTAGTACAATGATATTTTGTTGTAATGTATTTATCTTTTGAGCTGCATTTATTTTAGGTGACATGTGTCTATATTTTGAAAAATGTTGATTTTATGATTTATATTGCCTTCGATACTGATGTTGGAATATTTTATTTTTATTTAATCCTCAAAACGATTTTTATTTACTGGAATTGAATTTTAATATTATCAAATCTATTTTTAAAGATGTTTATTTGGAATATGCTTTTAAATTATTGAAAATATTTTAGAAAATTTTATCGTAGTCCGTTAGATATGCATACACCAGATCTAAGGGTTACACTATAAATCACCTCGGACTATTCAAATATATAAATAAAATATAATATGCATAAAAATATAAAAGTTTTCCTTTGCATTCTCTCTAGAGCTCTCGTTTCATTGTAGACTATTAATGATTCACCTCTTTCTCTTCCATTTTGCTTACTTTCAAGATATGAATAAAGCTTAGTTCTTAAATAATTATTTGTTCAATTGTTAATGCTGGAAGTACTCTTTTCAATTTCCACGTATTTTTCTTTTGGAAAATGTTTAGTTGATAATTGGCATTTTCATGATGTTTATACAATTTTAATACATCTTTTCTAAAAGAATAAATATGCAATTTTTTTCTTTTTTATCTTCCCTTAATCATTAAATTAATTTTTGCAATTTTTTCAAAATAATGAGAATACATTTACCCTGCTTCCCCATGAGACTTGCATCTGCCCTTGATACTATGACACGCTTGCAGAAATATATGGAACATATTTTGTTTTAGCGGATGAACATAGATTATCAAAAAAATATAAAATAATTTAAAATATATGAGAATTTAAAAAATTCAGATACAACTATCCACCCACACGCAACGACATGGATTGATTGTAAATGAGCACTTTCTTGATGGTCATTGGCAACGGATATGGAGGAGTAATTTGCTGCCAAGTTCAAGACTTCGTTCGCGTTGTTTATGTGAGTTTATTCCAACTTAAGGGACGCTTGGTTGATTTTATCAGTCATTTGTTGAGAGCTAATTCGACTCAACCAATGGTAAAAGATTTTCATCAAATTCAGAGGTCAAATTAATATTTTATTTAAACTTTAGGGTCAAGTAGTATTTTATATAAAGTTCAATGATTAAATTAAAAATTAACCATGTTTACTAACGTATCACTTCATCAAACTAACATGAATTAACGGTTCAATTATCAAAATATAATAATCGATAACGTAAGTGATTAAAATTTAATAAATCAATAATAAAAATCACTTAAACGTAATATTTTTAAAATCAACTGAAATAAAAATAAATTATTTATGTAGTTAACCCTTAAATTTATTAGCCATTATACTCTGTGTCACAGTTACTTAATTGAATATATCAATTTTACTCCTATTTATTTAAGGATAATGTTTAAATAATAATGTTGTTTTACGGGAACGTGATTACTGCGATAATTAAAGTATTAATAATATTAATCAATAAAAATCATAAATTCTTTCTTAAATTTAACATTGTTTATCTATATTTAATTATAATTTGAAATTAGAAATATATTCAGATATACGAATAAAACAAGAAATTGGTACAAACAAGGGTGGATTGAGGAGATGGACGAAGACAATTGCCGCCTAGAAATTTTATATATTTTATTTTCTATTGATAATACAATTAAAACATTTTTAATTGCTCTTAAAATTTTTGAAGTTCATCTTTTAATAAGAACATGATAAAGGCTTACTTAAGCAACCGAAAAAGTGTTTAAGACTGTACGGATAAATTAATCCAAACTTTAGCGGGTAACAAATGGTAATCAAATCAAATAATGTTGGACTATTTATTTGATCAAAAGGGGTGTCTATATGAGCAATATTAGAAGAAGATTTCCAAAATAATCAGCCAATACTAAAAGAAATAAGAGGTATGAAATTGATGAATCTTCAAGGACAAAAGGTGATAAGGTAATTAGCTCCACCGGTACATGAAGCCAAAGCAGTCGTATCGTCATAAGCATAGCTGTAAGCCTGAGGGCATTGGCTCTTAAAGACATTAGAATAAGTAGTCGGTGGGCACGTTTGCGGGGTTCCAAAATTGCCGGTGCAGCAATACTGAGGCTGGTTGAACGCTAAACATGCACTCTTGCAGGCAACGGCGCCGCCATCGGAGCCTTTAACCTGTAATTCAGGAGGACAAACCGCATTCACGTCGGCGGTGCAGCTGATCGGAGTGCAACCACCGGAACCTAATTGCGGGGCGATTGAGAGAGGCAAGTTAAACCCATCGACGAGACTAATGTCGAAGAAATCTTGTCCGTTGTTCGCTGCGAGGGTGAATTCCGCTAGGGTTACTGGAGGTATCCCCAAAGCGCCGTTGCATGGGACTTGACCGGAGGCACAGTCGCCTGTTAGGCATTGGAACATGCCGTTGACGTTTGCGCATTGAGTTCGAGCCCAGATGCGGCCTGACCATGTGGCAGGAACGTCTAGCACCGATGAAGCTTTCGACGGTAACTCTAAGCCGGTGGTGGATAACGGAGGGCCCGAACTAGTGAGAATTCCAGGCCAAACTGAAGAAGGACAGTTGTTGTTCAAAGTGAACGTCGCTGATTTAGCACCTGCATTCAATTTGATTATTGAACAATACAATGAGCATCAATATTAAACATGAAAAATCTAATGGGATATACCGGAGAAGAAGAAGATGGCCGCCAGTGAAAGACCAAAGAAAAGCTGAGCCTTCATCATTACTAGAAGTTGGGTGCTCGACGGCGACTCTATCTCTGTCAATACATATATATAAACTAAAAAGCCCAAAGCTTAGGGTAAACTCTTAGATCTCATCAATCAATGGAGAATTTTCTTTTTCTTTGAGGAAAGTTTTTCTTACCAATTCCAGTTTTAGAAAAATTAGTTCAAATAATTAAAAGAATCTTTGATAATTTTACGGTGAATTTCTAGAGAAAGATGGAAATTATTAAATATCCAAAAATATTTAGTATTGACTAGTTCTATGTAACTGAAAAATAAAAATAATATTTGAGCACCTAAACAATTAATTATGAATCTCGAACTTATGATAATAAATGGCTAACTTATATTAAAAAATAATTGTTTAAAGATCAGTTTGATATTACTTTTGAAAAGTACAGTAAGAAATACTTTTAAAAATAATTTTATAAAATTAAGTTTAAGATTTTAATATTTCATATTGTTATAAAAAGTACTTTTTAATAAGATAAAATATATGTTTTAGATATTATATTATAAATTCAAAATATGTTAAATTAAATTATTTTAAATTTATTTATATTTTAATGTATGAAATATATCAATTTAAACTATAATAAAAATATAAATAAAATATATATTTATAATAAATTACTATCAATATTTGAATATATAAATAATAAAATTTTAAATACTTTTAAGTAATTAAAATAAATTATTAAGAAATAAATTATTTTTTAAAAAGATATTAGTATTAAATTATTGAAACAAAATATTAATACATAATTTATAAAAGAAATTGAATTTTAAAGTTCTTTTCCGAGACAAATGAGTGGAGCCCTTAAGTAGGGACGAATGCAAAATTTGTGTCCGGGGTTGCGAATATAAAAAAATATATTAAAAATTTAAGGAGTGCAAAATCAAATAATTCATATAAAATATAAAGAAAATACCTAATACATAAGGGATTTTAAAATTTATAGGGGGTGCGACCGCTTCCTCCTCAGTCCATCCCTGCCCATACACTAACAAGGATAAAAACATAAATTTGTTTCTAAACGCAAAATTAAAAATGGAAAAGCCGAAAATCTTAATTTTTGTTGTTAGATTGAAACCATTGATCTAACCATATATTTTTTAAAATTTTTATCCGTTTGATATTGATTTTGTGATAAAAACTAACCTTTTTATCAAAAGTACGGTTAGACAACGTTACCAAAAGGGACTAAATTTGCATAATTTTCTTATTGAAAAATACCAAAATTTTATATCGTTGAATTATTTGTTTTACCAACAGCGTGAGTAAGAATATGATATAATGTTAAAAAACATTTTTAATGTTTTATTAAATAGTTATTTTTAGTTAAATTCTTTTTTCTTAAACATTTTGGCTTTAGATTATTCATTTTAAAATAAAATATCATTAATGTTTGACTAAATATTCATTTTAATTCTTATACGTAATTTTTAATATACTTTTGCCATCAATATTTTATTTTAATGCAAAAAACTCTATTTTAGAGTGTATGTTAACTAATGATTTACATCTATAAATGATTTTTTACCTTAAAATGAAATATTAATGGTCAAAATATTAAAAAATAGAGATCAAATTAATTATTTACTCGAACATTATAAGTATTTATTTTCATTATGACTAAAAATAATTACGTAATTTGTTTTAAAATATTTTTATAATTTTCACCCATGCAATATCTAGCATCCTTATAAATGAAAAATTCTAGTTAGGTAAGTAAGTAATAAAGCAATTACACATGCATTGCCTTCTTTGGGCCGAAACGAATTACCAAAGTAGGTAGGGGGCTTTTTGAACCTTAAAACTTAAAAGGCACCGCTATTCAACGGCGACTTTCCTCTGCTTTATGACGTCATTCATTTCCCGCTACAAAAAGAGAGGGAAAAAAGGGGACATTTTCCGGGAAAGAGAGAAAAAAACAAAGACATGGAGTTTGCAGAGTTGAGAGAAGCCATAGAGAGAATAGAGGTGGTGGATTCTCATGCGCACAACATTGTTTCTTTAGATTCATCTTTTGCTTTCATCAATTCACTGTCCGAAGCAACTGGTGACGCCTTATCCTTCGCTCAACACTCTCTCTCTTTCAAGGCAATGGTCATCCCTCTCCTCCTCCTTTTCTTCTTCTTTTATAGCATAAATCTCTCAGTTTATTTTTATTTCCAATGCTTACTTATTTCTTTCATTCTTTGACTTAATACTATAAAGCTATGGTAGAAACTTTTTTATGGTTCTTACGTTTTAAGCTTGTGTGAAAATCAATATTGGATTTGGTTCTTAGTTAGATCTAAATAAGTTTGACTTTCCTTTGAATTTTTCTGGGGTTGTTAAGTCTGCTGGTTGAAAGCTGAAAAACGAATAACTGTTCAGACTAACCCCTGACTTAAATGTAAAAATGCAGATTTTTTTAATAGCATAAGTACATGGTTCTACATATTATAGACATGCTATGTTACAATCGTAAAAGGCAATCGATATTGTCTGATAACTTTGAAGAAATAGGACTATATGTCTATATCCTTTTATTCTGAGACAATTTGTTTTTTGACAGAGGAATTTGAGGGAGATTGCACAACTCTATGGCACGGAATCATCGCTGGATGCTGTGGAACAGTATCGCAGAGTATCTGGATTGCTAGCCATTAGCTCAAAGTGCTTTAAAGCCGCAGGAATCTCTGCTATTCTTATTGATGATGGATTGAAGCTTGACAATAAACATGACAATCAGTGGCATAAAAATTTTGTTCCATATGTTGGTAGGATTCTCAGAATTGAATCCCTGGCTGAGGAGATTCTTAATGGAGTAGAATACCTTCTGATTCTTCTTTTTCCAACTTTATATTATCACCATATAATTTGATGTCAAGTTCAGTTTTTTTTTTCTTTACGTTTCTTTTTCATAACATTGGTGTTGTTATTATGTTTACAGGAGACGCCAGATGGGTCTACCTGGACATTGGATGCATTCACTGAAACAATTTTGAAAAGCTTGAGGTCATATCCTTTTACACATTTTGTTCATCCGAAGGCATTTATGTCCATAGTGTAGGTTCTATTGATTTGAAATTAAGAAATCATCCGCACATAATTGAAGCTTTACGGAGAGTTCATGTTTCTTTGGTTGACCAACACTGAATGGTTATTGAGGGTAGCCTGCCTAACTGGTAAGGACGAATAGATAAGAACTAAGAAGAGCCCACTGTCTTAGCTGGATTTCTTAACGCACTGTTACAGTTGCAAAAGATGTTGTTGGATTCAAAAGCATAGCTGCATACCGCAGTGGTTTGGAGATCAATCCAAATGTCACCAGAGAGGATGCATAGATTGGTCTTTCTGAAGTTTTACAATGTTAGTAAATTGTAGCCTGCGAATTGGTTTTTTTTTTTTGCATTCATCGGAGGATATAACAATTTCACATTTCAGGTGGGAAATCTATACGAATTACAAACAAAAGCTTAATTGACTATATTTTCACTCATTGTTTGGGGGTTGCTCGACAGTTTGATTTGCCGCTGCAGATACACACAGGGTAAGAGAAGCTTTTAAATTGTGAAATATGGTGAATTGAACTCTTGCTGATGACTAGGTAGATTAGGAAATGAACTTGAATTGGATTGGATAGCAATATAAAAGGGGATCTGGGAAAGATCATTGTTTATTCAGGTCCAATGTTGGATCCCCCAGAGCCAGGTAGCTCATATATTCCATGTTCTTTTCCCCATAAGTGAGACAATCAGGCTACATGTATGCAACCTGTATGATTTTTTAGCTTCTTTTTCCTCATTCCTTGTGTTGTTCCATTTCTCCCACAACTAGTTTTGGAGACAAAGATTTGGATTTACGACTATCCAATCCTCTTCATCTTCATACCCTTCTAGAGGATAAAAGATTTTCCAGCTGCCATATTGTTCTTTTACATGCATCCTACCCATTTTCAAAGGAAGCTTCATATCTAGCCTCTGTGTATCCCCAGGTAAAAAATTCTAACCTCTGGTGATTCGCTTTTGTTCATATTCAATTTGCCATGTTCCTTTCCATGTAACAGTTTGTGCTTTCAGGTTTACCTTGACTTTGGGTTGGCAATTCCCAAACTCAGTGTTCATGGGATGGTATCCTCAGTCAAAGAACTTTTGGAGCTGGCTCCCACAAAGAAGGTGAGAATAGTCACTCAAAGAAAATATTGAGAACCTGTACTTTGTATACCAATGTTTTTAAGAAAATGAACTTTTTTTCCAGATAAACACAACTTATTTAAGAGCTTTATATGAGTTCATCCAGTGAGAACAGAAGTAATGCCCTTTTCCACAAAATCCACCCAACCTTTATTACAAGGGCCAATAATGATAGAATTGGTGTTTAACTACATCTATGTCTCTCTCTGGTCGATATTCTTATCTTTCCCTCACTATAGTTAATATAGTATCCTTCTTCCTTGCATATGCTTTTATCTGTACCAGGAGTTTGCTCCACTTAAGATTTTTTCCCTTCTGAAGTACGAGTATGTTTTTAATGTGTAGAAAGAAAAGTCATGGTCTTCTTTTCTTTTTTTCCGTTCGGTTGCTGTGTTTATAGCTTGAGGCAATTTCTTTCATTCACTTCATCCCACCACCCTATTTAACTGAACTTGAACCCTGTAATATGCCCTTCTGTTTCATTTCACACAGAGGAATTTGTCAATAAACATGGTTGACACTTCCTTTTCATATGTAGACCAAGTTTGATTTATTACTGATTGATTTTAAACACAAAAATTGCAGGTTATGTTCAGCACTGATGCATATGCAACTCCTGAAACATACTACGTAGGTTTGTTGAACTTTTCATCCACACATATCATAGAATAGCCGGAGAATGATGCTTCTGATTGTATTGCATTTTATTTTTAAGAATGTCATGTCCTTATCTGATCACTCATGACATGCCTTGAATATAAAATATACATGATGGGTGTCATTCTCTCTTTTAGTTAGATAATTATTGTCTGTCTGT